CAGGGCCAGAGGTAAACAGCTGCGAAGGAAATGGCCCTCGGTTGTCTGCTGGGTTCCTGGCTCTAATCTGTCCCAGACCGTTTTCATGGACATTGGGGTTGGGAGTTAGGCCAATCCAGGTATTATAAGAGACTGTCCAGGATTTTCCAGTCAACATTCAGATCTCGCCTTAATGAGGTGGTGAACCGTCTTCTGACTATTAATTTTTCACTCTGGGAAAACCACATTGTATGATCAGTTTCCACATATTGCAAGCTTCTGACTGACATTTCAATAAAAGCAGTGGAGTTCTGATGCCCACATGGAAGTTTGCTGTCGATAAGTATCTGCTAAACACGTTGTAAAAAGAATTGGGGCTTATCCATTCCAGTCAAAGTAGCTTTCTAGCCTCATAAGTGTCTTGATTGCTATCAAACTCTCTCTCAGACACTGTAAATTTAACTTTTGCAAGTGTGGTGGCTCATTCCATCTGCTTTTAAATAATATTAAAGACCTTCAAAAACAACTTTTTACTTTTCCTTTCTGGTTATTTTATCTAATGCTAAAGCATTGTCTCTCAACAGCTACAATCAAACAATTTGTCCTGAGCATTCATTACTTACGACAAAATCCATCCTGATTTGTTTGTAAAATACAGATGCCTTGCAACAACTCTAGCCAAGGCATTGCTATGGACAACATACCAGGAAACTGTGATAATAAGGTGTAGAGCTGGATGAACACAGGAGGCCAAGCAGCATCAGAGGAGCAGGAAAGCTGACGTTTCGGGCCGAGACCCTTCTTCAGAAATGGGGGAGGGGAAGGGGGTTCTGAAATAATAGGGAGAGAGGGGGAAGCGGATTGAAGATGGATAAAGGAGAAGATAGGTGGAGAGGAGACAGGTCAAAGAGGCAGGGATGTTGCCAGTAAAGGTGGGTATAGGTGGGGAGTTAGGGAGGGGATAGGTCAGTCCAGGGAGGACGGACAGGTCAAGGGAGCGGGATGAGGCCAGTAGGTAGGAGCTGGGGGTGGGGCTTGAGGTGGGAGGAGCGGATAGGTGGGAGGAAGGACAGGTTAGGG